CTTCATCTTCATCGCCATCTTGATCTTCATGTTCAGCTTCCTCATCTTCATCATCTCAATCAGTATCAGTATTCATCTAATGGCAGTCGGTCCCTCCCGCCACCGTGCCTGGGCTGTGGGTATGAAGCCTATTCGATGGTCGTTGGGATCTCGTGGGAGGCTTCTCGGGGGCTTCTTGGAGGTAATTTACAAGCCTCTTTGGGGCCGTTTCGGGTGCCTCTTGGAGCTTCGTTGGGGCCTCTTGGTGGCCTCTTGGGCATCTTGGGGGCCGCGTGGGGCCTCCAGGTCGCCCCGTGGGGCACCGAGACGGGCCAAGAGGGCCCCAAGAAGATACCAAAACGGTCCAAGAGGGCCCCGAGTCGCCGGACGATCGCTCCAAGACGCTGAAGATAGCCCTCAGACGGCCCAAGAGGCCCCCATGATGCGCAACGAGGCCTCCTAAAAGGGCCCTAAGAGGCCACCATCATAGATTGTCCTTTGTTTTTTATATGATGTTGGCGTTCTCGCCTGCTCGGCGCTCACAGACGGCCCTAGAGGTCCCCAAACATCGCCCCAAGACGGCCCAAGGGACTTCTAAGAGGGCCCCAACATTGCCCAACAGGGCTCGACACCAACCCAGATGCGCCCAACACGGCCCAAGAGGGCCCCAAAACGACACCGAAAGGGGCCGAAAAGAGGGAACACGAACCGAAAATCCGAGCAGTCGACCCCCAGATGCCCACAATAGGCCCCCTTGGGCACGGAAGATTCACGCGACAACACTCGGGGGAGCCCAGGAGAACAGCGACAAGCCCCCAGAGATTTGTGCCGATGGGTTCCGAACACTTTACAGACTCCGCAGGAGTGGGGACTGAGGTTTAAAGGGGTAGTGAGAGGACCTGAGAACACGCCCACTTCGTGCCCAGCTGCACGGTGGCGGATCAGCATTATCGTCCTCCTTCCTCTTCCTTCTCCTCCGCCTCTTCCTTATCCTCCGCCTCCTCATCATCATCGTCCTCATCCGCATGCTCATCCTCATTATCCTCATCCTCGTCCTCCTCATCCTCCTCCTCCTCCTCATGATCATCATCATCACCAGCAGCATCAACATCAGCATCATCATCGACGTCGTCGTCATCATCATCGTCATCGCCATCGTCATCGTCATCGGAATCATCAGCATCATCATCATCATCAGCATCATCGTCATCGTCGTCGCCATCACCATCAGCATCAGCACCATCATCACCATCATAATCATCAGCATCAGCATCATCACCATCACCCTAAACATCACCATCACCACCGATACCATCAGGACCCTCACGCACACTCACACACTTCCTCACCCACGCACTCACACATTCACGCACCCAGACACGCACACACTCACACACCTACACACTCACACACGGTCTCGTATCGAGGAAGTCTCGAGCGTGGGCTTCGTTCGTGATTGAATTACGAGGAAGTCTCGGCTGGGAACCCCCTCCCTATGGAGTTCGCGATTCATGGTGTTCATCTGAGGCGGCCGTCGGAATACTTTTGAAACATTATTCTGGTGAAGTGCCGCACCATATGCAGTTGCGAGTAACGCAGTTATGAGTATCGTCCTCGGTGGCCAACGGAGCGTCTGATGGGGGATGGGGTGTACCGAAATGGACATGCAGTGGGCGGAGAGCCTCACGTGAACCCTGCCACTGAGCCCTTCAGCTCCCTATGGGACCACGAAGCGTGTGAGGGGCTTGCCGTCATGGACATGCGGTGGGCGGGGAGCCGCATAAGAACCCTGCCCTTGGGGCTTCGGCGGAGCTCACTCGAGGGCCACGAAGCGTGTGAGGGGTGGACATGCTTTGGGCGGGGACCCGCATGTGAGCCCTAATCCGCCCCGCACAGCGCGCGATCGGCGGGGCGCACCTCCGCCGATCAACAAGCGGCAAGCTCGGGACAAGGCAGCTCGGGAAAGCGGAGCCCGAAACATATGAGGGGGATACCGAAATTGACATGCGGTGGGCGCAGAGCCGCTGGGGCCTTCGGTGGAACTTCCTCTGGGGCCACGAAACGTGTGAGGGGTGTGCCGACATCGACATGCGGTGGGCGGGGAGACGCCTCTGAACCCTGCCATTGGAGCCTTCGGTGGAGCTCACTATGAGGCCACGAACCGTGTGAGGGGTGTGCTGTCATGGTCGTTCGGTTGGTGGGGAGCCGCATATGAACCTTGCCACTGGGGCCGTCGGTGGAGCTCCCTTTGGTCCCTTTGGGGCCACGAAGCGGGCGAGGGATGTGCCGATATGGACATGCGGTGGGCTGGGGAGCCGCATGTGAACCCTGCCACTGGGGCCGTTGGTGGAGCTCCCTTTGGGGCCACGAAGCGGGCGAGGGATGTGCCAAAATGGACATGCGGTGGGCTGGGGAGCCGCATGTGAACCTTGCCACTGGGGCCGTCGGTAGAGCTCCCTTTGGGGCCACGAAGCGGGCGAGGGATGTGCCGAAATGGGCATGCGGTGGGCTGGGGCCCGCATGTGAAGCCTGTCGCTGGAGCCTTCGGTGTAGCTCCCTGCGGGGCCACGAAGCGTGTGAGGGGTGTGCCGTAATGATTGGCATTCGGAGGGCAGAGGCAAGGACGGGAGGAGGGAGGAGGGGGAGGAGGAGAGGAGGAGGAGAGGACGCGGGGCGCTGTCTCTTCAAAACGAGGACCCGACACCACAGGATGGTTGGGAACAACCATTTCCAGTCCTGATTTCCAGCGCCCGGAGCCAACTGTAGGCCACTTCGTGTTCTTCGAGTTCCCAGAACTCCGCTCCCTTGCCTGACTTTGCATGTTCGCAGCCAACCGTGGGCCACTTCGGGTTCTTCGTGTTCTCAGAACTCCACTCCGGCACTGATGTTGCATGTCTGGGGCCTCGGAGTCTCCACTCCAGCATTTAGCACTGATGTTGCACGTCCCGAGCCACATGTAGGCACTTCGATCTCCCCTGGCCCCGGACCCGCCGTACTTTAAACGATTTCGCAAATGGAGTGGTACATTTCAAGCTCCTTTGATGTCGATGTCCGCCCTGCTTTGCTGTCGTTGTTTCCGCCATATTTTTCAGAAATAGCAGTTGTATTTTCTGAGGCGGAGATTGCCGCCCTACTTTTTCGCGTCGTTTGGGGTGCATTCCCGACACCGTTCCACGTCGGAGAATCAACCCAAATACGGCGGATCTGGAGTCAGGGTCTTCGTGCTCCCAGAACTCCATGATCGGGACTGATTTTGCATGTCCAGAGCCAGTTGTAGGCCACTTCGGGCTCTTCGCGTTCCCAGAACTGCACTCTTGAGACTGGTTTTCCGTTCGCGTCCTGGCATCCTGGCAACTTGGCATCCTGACATCCCTCGCATCCTGGCATCCAGGCACAGGCCCCGCAGGTCTGACACAGTCTCGCAGGTCCCACAGGCCCCACAAGCCGCACACGCCGCACAGGTCGCACAGGTCCCACAGGCCTCAGAGGTCAAAGGTGGCACTGGTCCCACAGATCCCACAGGCCCCACAAGTCGCACACGCCCCACAGGTCGTACATGTCCCACGGGCATCAAAGCTGCCAAAGGTTTTATAGGTCGCCAAGGCCGTACAGGTCCCACAGGACTCACAAGTGACATATGCCCCAAAGGCCCCACAAGTGGCACTGGTCCCACAGCCCCCACAGGTCGTGCAAGTCTCACATGTTCCACATGCCGCACATGCCGCACGGGTTCCAAATATTCCTCAGGCCCCCGAGGCCCCGCAGACCCCACAGGTCCTACAGGCCGCACAGGTTGAACAGGCATCCTGGCATCTTAGGATGTCGCCTTGCTGCCATCCTGGCGTCCTTGCCACCTGGCATCCGGGCACCCTGGCATCCATGGCATCCTGTCATCCTGGTGTCCTGGCATCCTGGCGTCCTAGCTTCCTGTCATCTTGGCATCCTAGCGCCATCACTAGCGTTAGTCGTCGATGGTTACGTGCATACACACCAAAGGGATTATACTGCGGGAGTATATTGTCGGAGTGCTGTTTCCTCTTTCTCTTTCTCTGTATATATGTATATGCATACACAGATATACATATAGGTATACATTTGTATAACTTGTGCTGCGTGGCTCTCTTCATACGTATATATATGTATAATCGATCGATGTATGCCTAGAGAGATCGGCGCAACTTGATATATATGGATAAACATATACATGTGTAAACATGCAGTTGGATACACGCACCCCTATACATACATATATACATACATACATGCATGCATGTATGTATACATACATACATATAAACATACATACATACACACATACATACACACACATACATACATACATACATACATACATACATACATACATACACACACACATACATACATACATACATACATACATACATACATATGAATGTACATACAAATGCATATATATATATATATATATATAGAGAGATGCATCGTCTATATGTCGTGCGATACATCTAGACACACACACATATATATACACATGCGTGTATATACACGTGCGCATGTGTGTATGTGCGCTGGTCTATCTCTCTGTCTACAAATGTAGTTACTTGTAAATGTAGTTGTACAAATATAACTGTAGTTGTGCATGTGTATATATATATATATAGCTAGATCGATCGATAGGCATTTATGCATAGATCTGCACATGTTGATTTAGCATTGGCCCCAGGTCCCTCTGTACACCATCAGTCGCCACGAACGCCCTCGAGGCTCCCCGGAAATCCGTCCAGTAAAGTTGGAATCACTCTTCGGGTGAAGCAGAGTTGCGTCACCGTCCTCACCCTTCCACCGCGCGCCGTCATGGGCAAGCCTCAGGGGGGTATTCAGGAGGGAGGAGGGAGGGAGGACGGAGGACGAGGGAGGAGGAGGGAGGAGGGAGCAGGAGGAAGGAGGAGGGGGGAGGACGGACAAGTGGTATCCAGGAGGGAGCAAAAATTTGGCAGGAGCGCGGACCGACTTGCAGGGAGCGCCGAGGGGGGGGGGAGGCTGCTGCCCGGCCGCGCCCTCGCGCTCGCCAGCCCCTGGGCGGAGCCCCGCGACCAGGACCGCTCCAGCGCGCACTCTGCCTTGCGATTACACGCTGTGCATTCTTCGCTCCTCTCTCGCCTGATGACGTCAAGAAGATCTCTGGCCCCCCTCCGCGTACTGTCTTCTTACACGGGATTCCCGGGAAAAGGGTTCTCGCTGGGGTTTTGTTCAAAATGTTGTTCCCGCCGAACCGCTGGCCTCATTTCCACGCTTCCGCTCGTTCCGGATCGTGCTCCCGCTGCAGCGCTGGCCTCATTTCCGCGCTTCCGCTCGTTCCGAATCGTGCTTTCGCTGCAGCGCTGGACTCATTTCCACGCTTTTGCTTGTTCCGAATCGTGCTGCCGCTGCAGCGTTGGCGTCACTATTTCCAGTGCCATGCCACGGCATAGTTCTCGGTCCTTCCAAATAAGCCCCAACATCTAGAAAATGCCCCCCCGAAAAACATTCGGTGTCGATTCGTTGATTTTTGGGGCCGCCGAAGCCCGCCACGCCATGCTATGCTATGTCATGCTACGCGTTGGTCTTCAATACCATGCTATGCCATGTAATGCTATGCCTTGCTACGACATCCGATTGTGCGAAGAGAGAGAGAGAGAGAGAGAGAGAGAGAGAGAGAGAGAAAAAACAAAAAAGAGAGATCTACGCCATGGTGAGGGATGGGAGGGAGTGTTAGGACGTCAGATATCACGCGAGCTCCCCCCTCTTCCCTCCCCCCCTCCCCCCCCCTGCCCCCCCCCCCCCCCCCGGGCCCTCCCTCCCTTCCTTCTTCTCTCCTTCCCTCCCCGCTCCTTGCTCCCTGCTCCCTCCTGCCTCATTCCTCTCCCCCACACACGCACAAACACACACAAGCACAAGCACAAGCACAAGCACAAGCACAAGTACAAGCACAAGCACAAAGACAAACACAAGCACACACACAACCACACACACACACATACACGCACAAACATGCACAAACACAAACACAAGCACAACACACAAACACAAGCACTAGCACTAGCACTAGCACAAGCACAAACACAAGCACAAGCACATTCACAAGCACAAGCACAAGCACAACCACAAACACAAACACAAACACAAACACACAAACACACAAAGACACTCATACACTCACACACTCACACACTCACTCTCACACAGACAAACACAAACACAAACACAAACACAAACACAAACACAAACACAAACATGACCACCCCCATCCCCGCCCGCTCCCTTCTCCCTGCTCCCCTGCTACCTCCTCCCCCCTCCCTCCTACCCCCTCTCTCCCTCCCTCACCGTTTCCTGCAGAGACTCCGCAAAAGTCTTCCTCCACAGCAAGCTGCCAAAGTACGTGTCTCCCTCCCGCTCCCAACTTATACCAACTTGAGTTTCTGTGGCAATGAAGTTTGAATCAGTTCTCCAAAGTTGTGTTTTGTGCTTCGCATTTTCAAACCCGCTGTTTTCTTTCGTTGCCTCCGCTCTTCGTCCTGCTTGCATGTCCCACGTCCATCTCGACTCCCATGGAGCACCTGTTATGCAGGACGGACAGCCAGTGTGTACTCCAGCGCTGCTGGTGCCGTACTTTCTGCGGCACGGCGTCAAGGCAGCACAAGCTCAAGAGAGAGAGAGCGAGAGGCACAGACAGAGACAGAGACAGGGAAGGAGGCAGAAGTATGTAGATATAGGGAGAGATGTGCGCATGGACATGCTGGAAGATGCAGAGGATAAAGCAGAGTAGGGCAAGGTGGGGAAAGACTTGGCATGGGCGATGACGATGGCTCAAGGGCTCTACTACTACTGCGAGAGAGGGGGAGGAGGTTGAGGATGGCAGATGGTGCTGGATGGAGACAGCTTTGCAATCGTACTGTTACGACACTGTTCAGGAAGACGGCAGGCGGGATCGCATGCGGACCGTGTTCTGCAATCAGGGTGGCGACGGTGGTGACGGTCGCTGGCGGCGAGGTTGGGGATGATGTTGAGGGGGCGATGTCGGCCATGTCCTGACGGCGTGCTCACAGGTGCCGAGCTGGGCAGATATTCTGTTTGAGGGTCAACGTGCTGCTGATGATGCTGATGATGATGATGCTGATGATGATGATGGTGGTGGTGGTGATGATGATGATGCTGATAATGATGATGATGATGATGATGATGATGATGATGATGATGATGATGATGATGATGATGATGATGATGATGATGATGATGATGATGATGATGACAGCGAGTTCGATCATTGGCAGCGGCGACGACTGACGGCAGTCAGCCATCGTGACGGTGGCGGTGTCGGCAATTGAAGCAAGATTGATTGCTATTGATTGCTGTGACTGTGACTGATGGCGATGACGAGCATGGTTACGCTCGCGTTGAACGTTCGTGGCAGTGACCATTGCGTTGAGGTCGCTGATGACTCTTGCTGGGGCCATAGAGAAGTCACGAGGGCCTCAGTAACGAGGAGGTGAAGACCACTCTTATAGCGGGGGTCTGCCCAGGGGGGCAGCTTTCAGTGAACAGATCGACGCCAGGAGCTGGGGGATGTCTTGATGTGCTCAGTGCTGGCCGCGTTGCCTGATGCTCCCCCCTCTCAGCGGAGGGCCCAGGGGGCGATGCAGAGGGGCGGGCCCTCTCAGCAGGCTTGGAAGGCCTCGGGCCTTCCGAGAGGTTTTCAGCCTCTTTTCTGACAGACGGCTTCTCAGGAAGTCGGATGGCTTCCGAGAAGCCCCGCCGCCTCCTGGGAAGGCCGGCCCCCTCTCACGTCCCCCCCCTGGGCGCGCCGCCGATGCTCGACACGCCGTGGCGGCGAAGGGTCCACATTGGGTGACCAGAGCGTCATTGAGTGTCGTCGCGGCCTCCCGTGACAGCCAGGACGTGAATTCGAAGTCGTTTGCCCCAGCTTTCCTGCTCTTTTCGTGCAGGCTCGAGGGTTGGCTGCTGCAGCTCTTCTCCTCCAAGGCTTCCTCGCAGTCGGCAGTATATCAGCTCTGCCTCCCTGCGCCTCGCGCTCTGCAAGTTGCCAGCGGCCGACCAACTCTCCCATGCCAGCGTGGCCAGTTTGTGCGGAAGTGGCTTCTGTAGTGGGAAGGTAGAGACTTCATTGCTCTGGGTTTGCGCAGTGGAAAAAAAGTGCCAGGGTGGCCAGCCTTCCTCGTTGCTGCCGCTTCACTTCGATCGGTGTTGCTGCGGGGCCTACTAGTCAAGGGAGGAAAACCACCTGGACCAGACAATTGGTCCTGCCCTGTTTGCTTCTTTCTTTGGGCGCGTTGACTGAACGACTTCGCGTGTCGCGGTGGTTATTTATGGGGGGGGGGGGGGATTTTTTGACTTTCACTAGGCCCCCTATCTGCGTCCACGTGGCCCTGTCTCAGCCGAGAGGCCGTTGGCGCTCTATGCTAGGACACTCGCGCTTCTGGCCTGGCGCCTGCTCCAGACATTGAGGGTGGAGAGAGGCCCGCGTCGCCGTGGGAGCGCGTTCGGCGCAGCACGCGATGGGCGCTGGTGACCTTGCGAGCGGCACTGCAGATGGTGAGCCGACCCCGAGAGACTGTGAGGCTGGGACTCGGACCGCGAGCTGTGGCTGGGAGCGGCGCGCCGATTGCCCCCCCACCCCCCCTATCCTCCGGCAGGTGCCGGCCCGGCGGCCCCGCAGCACTCCCCCCGCCCCGTGACGCCGAGCTCCGAGGACGAAACAAGTGCGTAAGCCTAAACGTTCGAGGATCTGCGATGGGTTCCTGGGTCGGCGCTGGGGCGCCCCATGGCGGCGCCTCCGGCGCGCCAGGGAGAGGCTCTCAGCGCAGATCCAAGAAGTCCGCGCGGACCTCCGAGAGTGCATGCTCATGCCATCTGTTCTTTTTCTCCGGGACCTGGCGGCCCCAGAGCCGCCGCGTGCAAGCTCGAGGCGCCTCTCTGCCCGGCTCATGACCCCCCCTCCCCCTGCGAGGCCCGCCGCTCTGCTCGGCCCCGGTGTGCCGACCCGGCGGCCCACCACAGCCGTTGTGCCAGCTCGAGGCGCCTCCCGCTCGGCTCCTGGAGCCCCCTTGCCGAGGCCCCACCGCCCAGCGCCCGCAGCCAGGATCGTTTGACTGGTCCCTGTCCCCATCCCCACCCCGAGCCCCACCATCCCACCACCCCAGCTGGGGACATGCCCCTCGGAACCCGAAGGGAACAGCCCACATCCCCACCCAGGGGGGTAAATCGGCCAGTGGGGCCTAGGCCACCGTCGTCGGTGGGGACAGGGATCGGTTGAACGATGCGCCCGTAGCCATGGCGCTGTCCAAGGCCCTGGCGCGCCGCGCCCTGCCCCGCGCACTCGCCCGCGCCGCCGCGGCGGCCCCGCCGCGCGCACCGCTGCTCGCCCCGGTGCCGGCAGGCGGCCTCGCCGCCGGCCGCCTCCTCGGCTCCGCGCGGGCGGCCGCCTCCGCGCCGGCCAAGGTCGAGCGCATGACCACCGAGGATCGGCCGCACGTTCTCGTCGGCTCCTCGTCGTCCTCCTCCTCCTCGTTCTCCTCCTCCTCGTTCTTCTCCTCCTCCTCCTCGTTCTCCTCCTCGTTGTCCTCCTCGTTGTCCTCCTCCTCCTCCTCCTCCTCCTCCTCCTCCTCCTCCTCCTGCTTCCAGAACACGCAGCGGCCATCCCGCCAATGTCGCTTTAACACCGTATGATGATGCTGCTGCTGCTGATGATGATGATGATGATGATGAGGAGGAGGAGGAGGAGGAGGATGCTGATGATGGTGATGATGATGATGCACATGATGATGCTGATGCTGATGATGACGATGCTGATGATGGTGATGATGATGCTGATGAACATGCTGATGCTGATGCTGATGATGATGACGATGATGATGATGCTGATAATGCTGCTGATGATGATGCTGAGGCTGATGCTGATGCTTATGCCGATGCGGCTCATAATGATACTGCTTATGATGTTGATGATGATGATGGTGGTGATGATGATGAGGCTGGTGCTGCTCATAATGATAATGTGCTGATGATGATCATGCTGATGATGGTGATGATGATGCTGATGATGGTGACGATGATGCTGGCTGCTGAGGGTGATGCTGTTGATGATGAGGATGATGATGATGCTGCTGATGATGGTGCTGATGATGATGCTGCTGATGATGATAATGCTGCTGATGCTGCTGATGATGATGCTTATGATGATGAGATTGATGATGATGCTGATGATGATGATGATGATTATGATGATGATGATGGTGGTGGTGATGATGAGGAGGAAGAGGATGATGAGGATGCTGATGATGATGATGATGCTGATGCTGATGCTTATGCTGATGCTGCTCATAATGATACTGATGCTGATGCTGATGATGATGATGATGCTGATGATGGTGATGATGATGCTGGCTGCTGCTGAGGGTGATGCTGCTGATGATGAGGATGATGATGCTGCTGATGATGCTGCTGATGATGCTGATGATGATCATGCTGATGCTGCTGATGATGATTATGATGACGATATTGATCATGATGATGATGATGATTATGATGATGATGCTGATGATGATGATGATGATGATGACGATGATGATGATGATGATGATACGACGACGACGACGACGACGACGACGATGATGATGATGATGATGATGATGATGATGATGATGATGATGATGATGATGGTGGTGGTGGTGATGATGATGATGATGACGATGATGATGATGATGAGGGTGATGATGAGGATGCTGGTGATGATGATTCTGATGCTGGTGCTGATGATGATGCTGATGCTGCTGCTGATGATGATGATGATGGTGATGATGATGATGAGGAGGAGGAGGAGGAGGAGGAGGAGGAAGAGTGGCTCCTGGAGGCCTTTCTGTCCCCAGGGTGCGCTCCAGCAGGTGCGCCTCGCCGGGAGCGTTCTGGGCGTGCCCAGATCGCCCCCCGAAGCCCAGCCGGAGACCCGAGTTACGGCCCGAAGGCCGAGCGGCCCTTCGCCAGAGTGGCTCTTGATGCACCGGAGATCATGGCCTCCCAGGTGGCTCGATGTGGAGCCCGATTTTACCCCAGCCGACGTCGCCGATGCATCACCGACGCATTACCGACGCGTCGGCGATGTATCGGAGATGCGGCGCGTTCCTCCGACCCCATCTGCTCGGAGTGGCCTTTGGTACGCGGCTTTCGGGGAGCGCGGGGACAAGCCCAGGCACGCAGGCCGCCACGGTCGCATTGCACGCAACGATCGGCAAGCCGCACACCAAAACGTCACTCTTGTCTAGGGTCACTCTTGCGTGCCGCCGAGAGGAGCTGTTCGTGAAGGTGCTGCAGAAGCGCGGCGTCGACAACGCGTTCGGCATCATCGGCTCGGCGATGATGCCGATCTCGGACCTGTTCCCTGAGGCAGGGATCAAGTTCTGGGACTGCGCGCACGAGTACAACGCAGGAATGATGGCCGACGGTTTCTCGCGCGCCACTGGCAAGATGTCCTACATCTCCACTCATCATCCCTCTATTCTCCCCCTGCCCCATCACCTCTCCCTCCCCCTACCCCTCCTCCTCCCCAACCTCTTCGTTCCCCCTCTCTCGGAGGACGAAAACGGCACAAACATACACTCTCGGAGGTCCGCGTGTTCTTCCTGGGTCGGCGCTGGACCCCCCCCCCAGTGAGCAGAACGTGCCAGGGGCGGCGCGACTCCCCCTCCCCCCTTCCCCCCCTCCGGTCCATGATGATCGCACAGAACGGACCGGGCATCACCAACTTCGTGACCCCCGTGAAGACGGCCTACTGGAACCACACCCCGCTACTGCTGGTGACGCCCCAGGCCGCCAACAAGACCATCGGCCAGGGGGGCTTCCAGGCTCCTTCATCGTCCCCTTCGCCCTCGTCGTTCTTGCCCTTGCGCTCCTCTTCCCTACTCCCCCCTCCTCCCTCTCATCCACTCTTTCTTTCTTCCTCCCCCTCCTCCTCCTCCTCCTCCTCCTCCTCCCTATCTCTTTACTACTTACTACTAATACTACAACTACTACTACTACTACTACTACACTACTACTCTGACTACACTACTACTACTCCTACTACTACTACTATTACTATTACTACTACTACTGCTATTAACTACTACTACTACTACTACTAGCTACTATACTACTACTACGACTACTACTACCACTACCACTACTACTACTACTACTACTACTACTACTACTACTACTACTACTACTACTACTACTACTATTACTGCTACGACTACTACTACTACTACTACTAACTACTACTCTACTACTAACTACTACTACTACTACTACTACTACTATTTTCTGCTACTAACTACTACACTAACACTGACTAATACGACTACTACTTACTGATACTACTAACTACGACTACTAACTACTACTACTACTACTACGACTACTACGACTACTACTACGACTACGACGACTACTGCTACTACAACGACTACTACGAATACTGATAATGATACTACTACTACTACTACTACCACTACTACTACTACTACTACTACTACTACTACTACTACTACTACTACTACTACTACTACTACTACTAACTACTAACTACTAACTACTAACTACTACTACTACTACTACTACTACTACTACTACTACTACTACTACTACTACTACTACTACTACTACTGCTACTATTACAAGTACGATTATTATTACGACTAGCACTACGATTACTTCCATTCCTCTCACTGAGAGAGCGTGATCCACCGCCGCTTTACTGTGGAAAATTGCCAACCTTTTCCTCCGGAAAACCGGGGTCCCCCCCCCCCCCCTCCGACAATCCCCCCCCCCTGCTGGAACCCCTCCCCACCCCCCCCTCTCCCCCGGCAAAACCCCCCCTCCCCTCCCCAACCCCTCCCCTACCCCGCCCCCCCCCCTCCCCTTCGAAAACCCGGGGGGGTCACTACCGGGTTCGAACCCCTCCCCCCCCCCTACCCTCCGGATCCGGAAAACTGGTGGGGGCCACTACCGGTTCGCACCCCCCCTTCCCCTTTCCCCCCCCCCCCCCTACTCACCGCCAGCAAACGACTCCCGGTCCCCACCACCGTCCGCATCACATCCCCCACTGGTGTTCCCAGCACCACTGTCCTCACCACCACTGTCCCCACTGGTTCCACCACCGTCCCTATTGTCCCCACCAGTGCCCCACCACTGTCGCACTGTCCCCACTGTTCCCACAACTGTTCCCACCACGGTTCCACTCTCCCCACTGTCTCCACGGACCCAACCACTGCCTATCCCCACTGTCCCCACTGTCCCACTGAGCTGTCCCCACTCCTCCGCTGTCCCACTGAGCTGTCCCACTGTTCCCACCACTGTCCCCACCACTGTCCCCGCTGCACCTCTGTTCCATTGTCCCACCGCCGTCCTCGCCACCGCCTTTACCAGTGTCCCCACCACCATTGTACCCTCCACTGTCCCAGTGTTTCCACCTCATTCCCACTGTCCCCACACCACTGTCCCCACCACCACCGTTCCCACCACTGTCCACTGTCCCCCCTGTTCCCACCATTGTCCCCACCACTTTCCCCACCACTACCGTACCGTCCCCACCACTGTCCCACTGTCCCCCCAATGTCCCCACCACTGTCCCGCTGTCCCCTCACCACTGTCCCCACCAACACCGTCCCCACCACTGTCCGCACCCCCACTCGGTTTTCGAGGGGGGGGGGGGTTCGAACCGGTAGTGAACCCCCCCCTTTTCATGATGAACTGGGGGGGGAGGAGGGGTTCGAACCGGTAGTGACCCCGCCCGGTTTTCCGGAGGGGGGGGTTTGGGGGGAGGGGTTCGAACCGGTAGTGACCCCCCCCGGTTTTCCGCCAGCAGCGGTAGAACACGCTCTTTCCTCTCACTACTACTACGACTACTACCATCACTACTACTACAACTACCACGGCTAGTATTCCTACTACTGCTACTACCACTACTACGGCTACGACGGCGACGACAGCTATCATTACTACTACTACGACTATTACGACTGCGACGACTACTACTACTGCTACTACTACTACTACTGCTACTGCTACTGTTTTTGCTAGTGCTACTGCTACTACTACTACTACTACTACTACTACTACTACCACTACTACCAGTTTTTTTTTATTTTTGGGTT